AAAAAATTACATTTATTGTTTTTTTGCTGATTTTGAAAATATTTCAGTTTCAGGAAGGTTAGATAACACAGAAAAGCTCCTGAAAGAAAGCAAAAGTTACATGTAACCTTGCTGTCTAGAGATAAACTTTAGCATTTGAATATATTTTTATATTTCCTTCTAGACTTTTTGTCTGTTTCTTTCTTGGTTTCTCTCTTTTTCTTTATTGAAATTGCAATCACACTCTACGTATAGTTTGGTGTCCTACTTTTTTCTTTTAATGTCATAATGTAAGCATTTTTACTTCATTTAATATTCTTCACAAACATAACTTTTAATGACTCTGACATATTCCATTTATGAGTAGACTTATCTACTCATTCTCATATTGTTAGATATTGGATGTTTCTAGTCTTTTACTCTTATGCTAGTACTGCGATCAGGATCTGTGCTGATCTGCAGAGGAAAGGTATACTCTGTTTTGTTACAAACCCTTAAATCAGAGAGACTGAATGTAAAAGTAGAATACCACTTCTGTATCCATAAGTGGCTAATCCACTGTGGGTAATTAGAATCTAATTATACCCTTTTTAAGAAACATATATGTTAATTTTTAAGTTTTATGAAATCTAATTTTTATTAATTGAAAAATTCGAAGTGTACCAAAACAGCTATTTAAAGGATTCTGCTGATGGATTCTGGGGTAAAACAAAGTGTAACCTGAATGTCAAGGCTTTAGTGACCTGTGAGCATAAAAGTGATTACATTTCTCTTATTGCAGGGCTCTAAGCTTCCATTTGTTTTCCAGAAGGAAGTTGAGGCCTCTCTGGGCCCTCGTGCTGAAGCAGTACCCAGAAGCTTTAGAAGTACTGCTTACTAATGTCTGTAAGCTAGACCTGGTCATCCTTTGCTGCTGATCTAAGACTGATAGTTCTGCTCTTGTGCTCTTCTGGAATTTCACTCTGTTGTTGATGGTTACCACTGTGAGCATCATTTGTAAACTGAAAATCCACTTGGTCAGATAATCAGTGAAATCAGAGTGCTATCAGTAAAAGTATAATGCTGCTATTGTCCTTGCTAAAACTGAAAATCAGTGCTTGTAGGTCTTGGTAATCATAGAGAATATTCCTTCTGAGGCAAGATGGACATCCCAAAGTAATAGTGATTAGCAATATAGATCTTTTAATTGCTGCCTCAACTAGTCACACTGGAACATCACAGCTCAGCCCCCAAAGTCCTGCAGAAGTACTGTTGTGGTAGGGCTACTGTCCAGATTCCCGCGGGCTTCATTTGTTTGGAGCGCCTGAGCTGTGACAGTAGCTATGAAGCTCTCCTGTTGCCTCACCTGCATGGCAGAGCTAGGCTCTGAAGCCCTGCGGAGGCGCTGCTCTGGTTGAGCGGCCTGCTCTCTGTGTCGTCATTGCTGCTGCCTCAGTGACCACCTTTGTGCAGAGCTCAGTCGATTCACCTTGGCCAGCAGGCTTTTTGTGGGTGGGAAAGGCAATACCTCCTCTGTTATGGGTTGAATTGTGTCCCCCTAAAAAGATATGTTGAAACCTTAGCCCCTAGTACCTCAGACTGTGACCTTCTTTGGAAACAGGTCTTTACAAAAGTAATCAAGTTAAAATGAGGTCATTAGGTTATGCCCAATATCTAAAATGACTAGTGTCATATTCAGGGGAAATTTGGACACAGAGACAGACTCGCACACAGGAAGATGATGTGAAGTGGCTGTTTGATGATGGAGTCAGGAATGGAGTGAGGCATCTACAAACCAAGGAAGATGTAAGGCTGCCAGAAGCTGGGAGAGAGGCATAGAACAGATCCTTCCGCAGCATCTTCAGGCGGAGTGTGGTGGCCCTGGTGACACCTGCATTTCAGACTTATGGCCTCCAGAACTGGGAGACAACAAATTCCTCCTTTTCTAAGCTACCCAGATTGTGGTGCTTTGCTACAGCAGCCCTAGGAAGCTAAGACACTCCGCCCTCTTGTCATGCTTAACCAGAAAGTATCTATTTAATATCAGAATATTTTGGACTTCAAAGTACAGCTTTTTCAATTCATATGAACATGCGGCCACTTCCTCCCAGAATGTACAAGTGTATCCCGGATTGGCTGGGATAGGGTAATTTCTGGTATCAGGTGTGTGTCGTTGACCTTGGAGCCATTTCCCCCCAAATCCTATCACTGGATCTGGCTCACTGCGTCAGACTTTTCCCCTCTTGTCCTTCCCAACATCACTGTTCCTCTTAGGACTCTCCCAGTTCATCACACGTTTGTATGTGTTAAATATTAATATAGACAGGATTCAGTGTTTACCACCCCCTGTCTATCCCCCAGGAGGCTTTCCAGGCCTTATGCCGATCAGTGGAGACAAGAGGATGCATGTGGGCTGGTTTAATATCAAACTCACTAGCTGGAAGCGTTTAAGCCCCAGTGGGAACTGATCTGTTTAACTTCTCTCACCAAGAAGTGTTTGCACCCCTGCTCCTGTTCAGCCAAAACGTTCATGGAATGCTATTATAAATATGTGAATGAAGTAGTTATTAAACATAATTTCGTCATTAAGATTCTTTTTTGGATGGAGTCTTTTGGAGATTGAGGAGGTGGTGAGAAAGGAACTGACATTTATTGGACTCTTCTGTCTACCATGTCTGTTTAGCTACTTTATCTTCTAAGTCTTATTTTTGTCTTACGCAATCCTCACAGCAGCTACATTTTACAGATGAGAACACCTAAGGCTGAGGAAGGTTAAGTAATTTTGCTTTACGCTGGCTATCCAGTGAACCACATCTCGCAGGATTTCTGCCTTTGTGTAGCCCTGAACCACATTGACCTGGGCTTGGCCATTTGACTTACTTCAGCCATTGGGACATTAGCAAGGCTTGATAAGTACTTGCCTGTTGGGGCTTGTCCTCTTGTAATACTCCCTCCTGAATACCCTGAGGCACCAGAAAAGAGGTCTAGCTACTCAGCTGGAAAGACTACACGGAGAGAGATGCCCAGTTAGTCTCCAACTGTTCCACATTCCCGTCTCAGGTCGCAGACATGTGAGTGAAGCCAGCTTGGATTTCTGGCTACAGTTGAACCTCCAGATGATTGAATTCGTGTGAGTGACCCGGGCAAGACCAACAGAAGAATCAATGAGTTGCACCAAGCTCAGATTGCATAGTCGTGGTCAAATACAGTCTTTTTAAACCACTAAATTTTGGGGTGTTTGTTATTTACCAACAAATCACTGGTACAGGAAGGGAATATTTTGTATTTCTCCCTGGAATTACAGTCCTCCCAGGAGGGCTGTTAGTGCTGGAATGGTTATAATCCTCCTCTTCATCCATCTACTATTATTCCACTAGATCCATTTCAAGTCCATTTTCTCAATGAAAGCTTGTTGCATATAATTAAAGACAACATTGAATCTTCCCTTTCAGTCCATAGGCCTTGACTATATGTTGGATCACGTTACCTAATTTTTTTCTACATTGTAGCTTGAATTTTTTTTTTTTTTGAAGATTTTATTTTTTTCCTTTTCCTCCCCAAAGCCCCCTGGTACATAGTTGTATATTCTTCATTGTGGGTCCTTCTAGTTGTGGCATGTGGGACGCTGCCTCAGCGTGGTTTGATGAGCAGTGCCATGTCCATGCCCAGGATTTGAACCAACGAAACACTGGGCCGCCTGCAGCAGAGCGCGCGAACTTAACCACTCGACCACGGGGCCAGCCCCCGTAGCTTGAATTTTTAACTTTTTTAGGGTAAGGAGTACTTAATATATTTTGGTTCAATGAAGTAAACAGTTTTTGAGCAATGTATGTGAGCTAGTGCACTAGGAACTACGTTAACCAAGGTCTTCAGAAGCACACAGTTTTGGGTGAAGTAAGAATAAACATACATAGCTGTACAGAAGGTAGACGATGATCACTGCTATAAAAGTGATACAGGGAAAGCTTAATTGTGCCCAGGGGCAATTTATATTTGTGTTGGGTCAATATATAAATAATTGAAAAGAAAGGGTTTCATGAACAAGGAGAATAGCTTTAACAAAGGCAGAATTGGGCAATTGCCAGACAAGGTCAGAGCTGGTTAATATGGCATTTCAAGTTTGACCCTAATTTACTATTTTTAGTGGAAGATTTCATTGATATGTAGCATATATAACCAAGTACATAAATTATAAGTAAAAGCTCCGTGAATTTTCCCAAGATGAACATACAACCTGAAAACAGCATCCAGATTGAGAAGTAGAATATTACAGCATCTCAGAAGCATCTCTTTGGTATCCCCTCCAAATCCCTACCACCCTCCAAAGTAGCTATTATCCTGCTGCCTCTCCTGATTAGCTATGTGTTTAAAGTTCCAGGAGAATATGGAATACTTAATTTTTCCTTTACAACACCCAGCAGTTCGTTAATGTAGCTAACATAGGATATAGTTGTGTTAAAAAGTTTGGTGTTGTATTTTATTTTAAGTATATTGTTTCTGTTGAAGCTTACCTTATAAAATGTTGAGTGGCCTTATTTTCGTGCCCCTAAATCAGATCTTCATTACTAGCTTTTTAATTCTTTCCATGTAGGTACAATAATCAAGATCTATTATAGATATGCAATCTCCTATGGAAATCCTTGGGGCTGGATATGTTTAGAAATTTAGAATTTGGATATTAGAAAAGCAATACAGTGCATGTATGATATATAATGTAATACTCCAAGCAGAGGCTGGGGTATCACTGTGCAATTATGTACATGAATATTTCTTCAATGGAACAAATGAATAATCACACTAAATTAGATAAATGACTGAAATTAACCTCATATCAGTTTAAACCAAGTTTTGCCACCAAATGAATTTTGGTGCCAAACTTACAAAACATCTTTTAGTTTTTACAGCTTTTTAAGCTTTCAGTTGTGAATATGGGATTATAGGCCTATAAAACATGTATGCTTTTTAAGACTACTGCATTCTAAGTATATTTTGCCTTGTTATCTTTTCAGATACTTTAATGTAACATTTTTCACTTTTTAAAGGAGTAATAGAAACTTCAGAAGTAATTGCTGCTTTGAAATCATTGGGTATGAATATTTCTGAATCTCAGGCAAAAAAGATTCTACAAAGGTCAGCCCTTATCCTTATTTTTAATAGTTTTTATTTTTGTTTAACATTCTATGTTAGAAAATAATTGCTATAAATGTAGCTCCTTCATTTCTTCTTAGGTTTGATAACATCAGCTTTTATTGACAGTGTTAAATGAAAGAACTCTAAGAAATTTATTGAACTGTGAGAATGCTGCTGACTAAATCACAAAGTGTTCTCTTTACAAAGTCCCCAGGATAAAGTTCTGCCTGCTTCTAGTTCAAAGAATAGTTGTAATTCTCTTAAGCAATTGATTTAAAAAAATTTTTATTTTTAGCTTTTTTTGACATACAAAAAAACTGTACATAATTAATATATACAACTTGATGAGTTTGGAGGTAAGTGTATACCAGGAAACGATTACCACAATCTATGCCATAAATATACCCATCACTTCCAAAGTTTCCTCCCACCTTCTTATTTATTATTATTATTTTTGATAAGAAAACTTCCTTTTTGTAGTTAAAACAATTTTTAAAAAATTTTGATTGAGGTATAATTGACATCACATTATATTAGTTTCAGATGTACAACGTAACGATTCAATATTTGTATGTATTGTGAAATGGTCGCCACAGGAAGTCTAGTTAACATCCATCACCATACATAGTTACAAAAATTTTTTCTTGTGATGAGAACTTTTAAGGTTTATTGTCTTAGCAACTTTGAAATATGCAGTACAGTAATAAAACTATAGTTACCATGCTGTACATTACATTCCTATGAATTATTTCTTTTATAACTGTAAGTTTGTAGCTTTTGACCCCTTCACCCATTTTACCCACCCTCAATCCCTGCGTTTGGCAACCACCAATCTGTTCTCTGTATCTATGAGCTCATTTTCTTTTTAGATTCCACATATAAATGAGATCCTATGATATTTATCTTTCCGTGTCTGACTTATTTCACTTAGCGTAATGCCCTCAAGGTCCATCCATGTTGTTGCAAATGGCAAGATTTCATTCTTTTATGTGGCTGAATAATATTCCATCCATGTGGTATACATATATTTTCTTTAGCCATTCATTTGTTGGTAGACACTTAGTTTCCATGTAAGATCGACCCTCTAAGCAACTTTTTAAGTATACAATAGCTTAGTCTTAATTATAGGCACTATGCTGTACAGTAGATCTCTAAGACTTATTCATCTTGCATAACTGAAACTTAGTACTCTTTGACAATACCTCCCTGTTTCCCCCTGCCCCCAACCTCTGGCAATTATTATTCTACTCTCTGGTTCTAGGAGCTGACTACTTTAGATTAATTATCTAAGTGGTATGTGGTATTCATCCTTCTGTGTCTGGCTTATTTCACTTAGCATGATGTCTCTGGGTTCATCCGTGTTGTTGCAAATGGCAGGGTTTCTTTATTTCTCATGGCTGAATAACATTCTATTGTATGTATACACCACATTTTCTTTATCCATTCATTTGATAGCAGACACTTATATTGTTTACATGTCTTGGCTATTGTGAATAATGCTGCAATGAACACGGGAATGCTGATATCTCTTTGAGATAACGATTTCATTTCTTTCAGATAGACACCCAGAAGTGGGATTGCTGGATCATATGGTAGCTCTATTTTTAATTTTTTGAGCAACCTCATACTGCTTTCCATAGTGGCTGCACCAACTTAAATTCCCATCAACAGTGCACAAGCGTTCCCTTTTCTCCACATCCTCGCTTGTTACTCGTCTTTTGTGTTTTTTTTGATAGTAGCCATCTTAACAGGTGTGAAGTGGTGTCTCATTGTGGTTTTGATTTGCATTTCCCTGATGATTAGTGATGTTGACCACCTTTTCACATACTTGTTGACCACCTGTATGTCTTCTTTGGAGAAATGTCTGTACAGTTCCTTTGTCCATTTTAAAATCAGGTGTTTTTTTTTTTTTTTTTTTGCTATTGAGTTGTGGGAGTTCCTTATGTATTTTGGATATTAACTCTTTATCAGATATGTGGTTTGCAGATATTTCCTCCCATTCTGTAGGTCACCTTTTCATTTTGTTGCTTGTTTCCTTTGCTGTGCAGAAGCCTTTTAGTTTGATGTGGTCTCTCTTATTCATTTTTGCTTTTGTTACTTGTGCTTTTGCTGTCATATCCAAAAAATCATTGCCAAGATCAGTGTCGAGAAGATTTTGCTCTGTTTTCTTCTAGGAGTTTTACAATTTCAGATCATACATTTAAGTCTTCAATTCATTTTGTGTTAGTTTTTCTGAGTGGTGTGAGATATCAGAACTTCACTCTGCTGCATGTGTTTATCAAGTTTTCCCATCATCTATTGAAGAGACTGTCTTTTCTCCACTGAGTATTTTTGGCTCCCTTGTCAAATTTGCATTGATCAATATGCGAGGGTTCATTTCTGGGCTCTTGGTTCTGTTCCATTGGTTTATGTGTCTTTTTATACCAGTGCCATACTGTTTTGATTACTATAGTTTTGTAGTATACTTGAAATCAGGAAGTATGATGCCTCCAGCTTTGTTCTTCTGTCTGCTTTGGCTAGCTGGGGTCTTGTGGTTCCATATGCAATTTAGGATTGTTTTTTCAATGTCTGTGAAGTGTGCCATTGGAATTTTGAGATGGATTGCATTGAATCAATCTATAGATGGCTTTGAGTAGTGTGGACGTGCTAACAATATTAATTCTTCCAACCCATTAACATGGCATGTCTTTCCATCTTTTGTATCTTCTTCAACTTGTGTCATTCAATGTCTTCTAGTTTTCAGTGTACAGATATTTTACCTCCTTGGTTAACTTTATTCTGAAGTACTTTATTGCTTTTGATCCTATTGTAAGTGGGATTGCCTTCTGAATTTCTCGTTTAGATATTTCGTTGTTACTGTTAGAAATGCAACTGATTTGTGTATGTTGATCTTGTATCCTGCAACTTCAATGAATTTGTTGATTAGTTTTACAGTACTTTAGTGGAGTCTTTAGGGTTTTCTATATATAAGATCGTGTCATCTGCAAACAGAGACAGTTTTACTTCTTTCTGATTTGGATGCCTTTTTATTTCTTACTTGATTGCTGTGGCTAGGACTATGTTGACTCGAAATGTCAAGAGTGGGCATCCTTTTCTTGTTCTGGAGTCTAGAGGAAAAGGTTTTAGCTTTTCACTGTTGAGTGTGATATTAGCTGTGGACTTGTCATATATGGCCGTTATGTTGAGAGACGTTCCTTTTATATCTAATTTGTTGAGAGTTTTTATCATGCAAATGCATTAAATTTTGTCAAATGCTTTTTCTGCATCTATTGAGATGATCATATGGTTTTTATCCTTGATTCTGTTAATGTGGTATATCACATTTATTGATTTATATATGTTGAGCCATCTTTGTATCTCAGGAATAAATCTCACTTGATCATGGTGTATGATTCTTTTAACGTACAATTGAATTTAGTTTGCTGTTATTTTTGGGGGGATTTTTGCATCTGTGTTCATCAGGGATATCGACCTGTAATTTTTTTTCTCGTATTATCCTTGTCTGGCTTTGGTATCAGGTAATGCTGGCCTCATAAAATGAGTTTAGAAGTGTTCCCTCATCTCCAATTTTTTTGAAAAGCTTGAGAATGATTGGTAGTAAATCTTCTTTAAATATTTGGTAGCATTCATCAGGGATATCATCTGGTCCTGGGCTTTCTTTGTTGGGAGCTTTTTGATTACTGATTCAATCTTCTTCTTCATTGTTGGTTTGTTCAGATTTTCTATTTTTTCATGAATCAGTCTTGATAGGTTGGATCTTTCCAGGAATTTATCTATTTCTTATAGATTATGCAGTTTGTCAGTGTATAGTTGTTCATAGTAGTGTCTTATGATCCATTGTATTTCTGTGCTATCAGTTGTAATGTGTCCTCTTTCATTTTTGGCTTTATTTATGAGTCTTCTCTCTCCTTTTTTAGTTAGTCTAGCTAAAGGTTTACTAATTTTGTTTATCTTTTCAAAGAGCCAGCTCTTAGTTTTGTTGATCTTTTCTTTTGTTTTTCTGGCCGCTATTTCATTTATTTCTGCTCTGACCTTTATTATTTCCCTCCTTCTGCTAATTTTTGGCTTAGTTTTTTCTTCCTTTTCTACTTCCTTGAGGTGTAAAGTTAGGTTGTTTATTTGAGATCTTTCTTTTTTCCTTAATGTAGGTGTTTATTGCTATAAACGTCCCCCTTAGAACTGCTTTTACTGCATACCATAAGCTTTGGTATGTTGTGTTTCCATTTTCATTTTTCTTAAGATATTTTTAAATTTCTCTTTTGGTTTCTTCCTTAACCCATTGGTTGTTGAGGAAAGTGTTGTTTAATATCTACTTATTTGGGCATTTTCCAGTGTTTCTCCTATGATCTCTAGTTTCATATCATTGTGGTCAGAAAAGATGCTTGGAATTATTTCAGTCTCCTTAAATTTGCTAAGACTTGTTTGAAGACCCAAGGTATGATCTATCCTTGAGAATGTTCCATGTAAGCTTGAGAAAATTGTGTATTCTGTTGTTGTATATATCTATTAGGTCCATTTGGTCTAATGTGTAGTTCAAGTCCAATATTTCCTTCTTGATTTTCTGTCTGGATGATCTATCCATTGTTGAAAGTGGGGTACTGAAGTCCTGTACTGTTATTGCCAGCTGGGAGCAGCCATGGTTCTGGGGTATGTGCAGGGTTATGGGGGTGGTGGCCCTGGTCCTGAGTCTCTGCAACAGCAACTCCTATTGGGAGGGGGTGCAGCAGTGTTTCTCTCCCCAGGGGGTCTATGGCAGCAATGGCTGTGGGGTACATTAGTGGTGAAGGCTGCCAGTGTTCTCTGCAGAGCAGTCCCTGGGGTCTGCACCAATAAACACCTCAGGTTCCTTCACTATGAAAGCTGTGGGGAGTCTGTGGCTGTTGCAGGGACTGTAAAGGCTGCTGGGGCCCTCCACAGAGCAGACCACTGGGAACCATGATGGCCCCTGCCATGTGGCTGATAAAGTCAGCCCCCACCATTCTTCTCTGTTCCTTGCCATCTCCAGACATTTCAGCTAAGCCAGTCTCCCCAGTGATCCTTTCTGTGTGGTTATTCTCCATTGTTTGCCTTACTGTGTTGCGGTAGATTCTTAATTGGACTCTTGAGCCCTCTCAGGGCTGTTTTCATTTGTGGATAGCTGTCTAATTATTGTTTTTTGTGGGGGGAGGATGGCTGGTGTCTCCTGCTCCACCAGCCTGCTGATGTCACTAATCTCTCCTTTTGTTGAAAGAAAAGGAATAGAAAAGGCAAAACTCACTACAAAAATCAAAAGGGGAATTTTGTAACGTTAGAGGTTTAATTCACCTAAATATATAACAATTCTACATTTGTGTGGATCTAATAATATAACCTCAAATTTATAAAGCAAGAATTGATTAAAAAACAAAGAAAAATAGATGAATCAATGATTATAGTAGGAAAGTTTAATACAGACTTCTCAGTAATAGCTAGTACACACAGACAGAAAAATATGAGTGAAAACAGAATATGTGAACAATACCACCATCAATCTTTACCTAGCAACATATGTAGAATATTGCATTCAACAACTACAGGGAATGCAATCTTTTAAGAACATATAGAAAATCTACAAAAATTAACCATATGGTGGGTTATAAAGGAAATGTAAAAAATTAAATAGAATTGGAATCATACAGGATATGTTCTCTAACCTTAATGCAGTTAAACAAGAAATAACGGGTTTTTTTCCCAGTAATTTTATTGAGATTATAGTAGTTTATAACATTATATAATTTTGGGTGTACATTATTATTTATCAGTTTCTGAATAGACTTCATTGTGCTCACCACCAGTAGTCTAATTTTTGTCTGTCATCATACATATGTGCCCCTTAACCCCTTTCGTCTACCCCCAACCCCCTTCCCCTCTGGTAACTACTAATCTGTTCTCTTTATCCATGTATTTGTTATCTTCCACACATGAGTGAAATCATGCAGTATTTGTCAGAGAAATATCTGGCTTATTTTGCTTAACATCATACTCTCAAGGTCCGCCCATGTTGCTGCAAACGATACGATATTGTCTTTTCTTATGGCTGAGTAGTATTCCATTGTATATATGTATACACCACATCTTCTTTATCCATTCATCCGGCACTTGGGTTGCTTACACGTCTTGGCTATTGTGAATAAAGCTGCAATGAACACTGGGGTGTATAAACCTCTTTGGATCGTTGATTTCAAGTTCTTTGGATAAATACCCAGTAGTGGGATAGCTGGATTGTATGGTATTTCTATTTTTAACTTTTTGAGAAATCTCCATGCTTTATTCCATAGTGACCACACCAGTTTGTGTTCCCTCCAGCAGTGCATGAGGGTTCCCTTTTCTCCACATCCTCTCCAACATTTGTTGTTTTTCGTCTTGGTAATTATAGCCATTCTGACAGGTGTATGGTGATATCTAATTGTAGTTTCAATTTGCATTTCCCTAATAATTAGTGATGTTGAACATCGTTTCATGTGCCTATTGGCCATCTGTATATGTTCTTTGGAAAAATGTCTGTTAATATCCTCTGTCCATTTTTGATCAGGGTGTTTTTTTCTTGTTGAGTTGTATGAGTTCTTTATATATTTTGCAGATCAACTCCTTGTTGGACAAATGATTTGCAAATATTTTCTCCCAGTTGGTGGGTTGTCTTTTCATTTTGTTAAGGGTCTCCTTTGCTTGGAAGAAGCTTTTTCGTCTGATGTAGTCCCATTTGTTAACCTTTTCTTTTGTTTCTCTTGCCCCAGTAGACATGGTATTTGAAAGATATTGCTAAGACCGATGTCCAATAGTGTACTGCCTATATTTTCTTCTAGCAGTTTTATGGTTTCAGATCTAACATTCAAACCTTTAATCCATTTTGAGTTAGTTTTTGTGTGTGGTGCAAGATAATGGTCTGCTTTCACACTTTTGCATGTGGCGATCCAGTTTTCCCAACACCGTTTATTGAAGAGACTTTCCTTTCTCCATTGTATATTCTTGACTCCTTTGTTGAAGATTTACTGTCCATAGATGTGTGGTTTTATTTCTGGGCTTTCAATTCTGATCCATTGATCTGTGTGTCTGTTTTTGTGCCAGTACCACACTGTTTTGATTACTATAGCTTTGTAGTTTATTTTGCATTGAATCGGTAGATGGCTTTAGGCAGTATGGACGTTTTAACTATGTTTATTCTTCTGACCCATGAGCATGGAATATCTTTCCGTTTCTTTGTCTTCAGTTTGTTTCAATGATGTCTTATAATTTTCAGTCAATAGGTCTTTCACCTCTTTGGTTAAGTTTAATCCTTAAATATTTTATTCCTTTTGTTGCAGTTGTAAATGGAAAATAAAGTTTCTTACAATAAAAGTTTTTTTTCAGGATTGATAAGATAGTTTGATACAATCTTGGTAGTTTCATCAGTTTATGTATTTTTTTATTGATGTGACAAGAGACGTTTTATAAACCATTATACACTAAATTATATCTTGCTACATTGTTTGGACAATTGGAAATTTTAAATCATACTGCTAAGATATGCTGCTAAGTCATACTCTAAGATAAATTATAGATTTCCAATAGCAATGATTTATCCAAAAGTTATTTATATAACTTCCATAAACATTAGTTATAGCTCTAGGTGCAAAGGATGCAGTTGTGAACAAGCCAAAGCTCCTGCTTTAGGGTTTCTGGCCAACAGGGGAGCTAGTACCAGCTGATTACAATACAGCGTCATAAGTGAAAGCAGGATGAGGGGGTGCTGACTGCTCACTAGTGAATTCTGTGGTGATTATTTTATTCACTTGAAAATATCTTTATTTCACTTTCGTTTTTTAAGGAGATTTTGTTGTATATAGAATTCTAGATTGACAGCTTTTTCTCTTTTGGTGCTTTAAAGTTATCATTAATGATGTTTGCTAGTATGCATTGTTTCTGGTGAAAAGTCAGTGGTTGTTTTTTCCATTTCCTCCTTGTATGTAACCCTCTCTTCCTTCTTTCCTCTCTCCCTCCCTTCCTTCCTTCCTTTCTTTCTTGAGCTCCAACATTGCTCACATAGAGAATTTCCATTAAGCTCACAGCCCTCCAGTAGTTATTTTGGTCAGACTGATGGAGTCATGCATAGCTTAGTATTTGGCCAAAGTTGCAAAGAGATACCTGTATAGTTTTGGAGCATCCTCCAAAATTTGCTGTGCAAATTCCTGCCCTGTCAGCAGCCCTCAGCTCTAATCTCTTTTTATTCTAGCTACTTGCTCTCTGTTTAGGCTTCTACTCTTTGTGCTACATTTTGGAAAGTGGCCCCAGACAGGACCAGAGTGAATGGGGAGCTAAACTCATGGGTTTTCCTTATCTCAAGTATCATAACCATGTCCTGTTTGTAGTCCAGTGCCTGAAAGCAGTTACTTCATATATTGTGTCCAGTTCCATAATTGTTTATAGTGGGAGGATAAGTTCTACACCCATTATATCGGCTTGGCTGGAACTGAAAATTGTACTAATCTTTTTGTTGAAAGAATGGAATTTGTTTTTTAGACTTTCCATTCAGAAAAATGCTATTGAAAAAAGCATTTCACTTAATTCCACCTTTTACTCAGACTGTAGAAACTACATCTAATGCTTTTTGTGATTTGAGATGCTTAAAAGTTGTGTAAATCCTGAATTTTGCATGGTAAAAGTGAGTCTTCTTTTTAAATTCATAAGTAAAAGATTACTTTAAAGTTGACTTAAAAGCTTAAGTAGGGAGAAAAGGGTCAGAGGAAAAAATGCTACTAGAAGAATCAAAAGCTATAAGGTTAACCTTCAGTGAATTTTATTCATTTATTCATTCATTCAGCAAACATTTATTGAGTGCTCAGTGCTGGAGATATAAAGGTGACTTAGAAATGGTCCTTCTCCTTAATAGATTATAGGTAAGTTTGAGAGAAATACATACAAGTAAATAATTGAAAAACAATACAGAGTAAATTCCATTAGAGGGGCATTCTACAAAATATCTGATCACTTCTCTTCAAAACTATCAAAGCTGGTAAAAACAAGGAAAGTCTGAGAAACTGTCATAGCCAAGAGAACCTAAGGAGACAGGATGACTAAATGGAATGTGGTGTCTCAGATGGGATCCTAAAACAAAAAGGGCCTGGTGGCGCAGTGGTTAAGTTCACACGTTCTGCTTCTTGGCAACCTGGGGTTCACCGGTTCGGATCCCGGGTGCGGACATGGCACTGCTTGGCAAAAGCCATGCTGTGTTAGGCGTCCCATGTATAAAGTAGAGGAAGATGGGCATGGATGTTAGCTCAGGGTCAGTCTTCCTCAGCAAAAAGAGGAGGATTGGCAGTAGTTAGCTCAGGGCTGATCTTCCTCAAAAAAACAAACAAACTAAGGAACCCTGAATAAAGTGGGAACTTTAGTTAATAATAACGTATCAAGATTGGTTCCTAATTGTAACAAATATACGACAATAATGTAAGATGTACCATTAGGGGAAACTGGATACAGGGGTATGTGGGAACTCTGTTCTCAATTTTCCCAAGAATCTAAACCTGTTCTAAAAAATAAGGTCTATTAAAAATATGGAAAAATAGCAATAGTCATGAAGCCCAAAGGAGCAACTTCTATAATTAATATGTAAGAAGCTTTTAATTAATTTTTATAATGGTGCTAAATTTGTTATAAATGTTATAAGCTCTATTTTTTTAAAAATTTCAGCATTGACAGTGATGGAACAATGACAGTAGACTGGGATGAATGGAAGTACTACTTTTTGTTTCATCCTGCAACAACCGTCAATGAAATTGCTCGTTTCTGGAAGCATTGTACTGTAAGATTACTTTGTGTTTTACTCTATTTTTATTTTGCTGTAAATGTCATAGGCATTATTGTGATCACATAATCCCTGTAATACTTCCAGCCTCAGTGGCTGAAGTAACAGTATTCTCTCCTAATAACGTTCTACTGATTTAGCAAGGAGTGTTAGTATTATAGATAGAAACACAGCTCGGATTTCTTTGTTTGCTAAAACCTAGAACTTAAAATAGATACCCATCTGCTGAAAGGGCCTGCTTTGTGTTGAGAATAAATTACTTTGATATAGTTAACTGTCCTAGAAAAGTGGAAAAATAATATACTTTTTTCCCCACAGATATGATGTACTCAATTCAGCCTTCTATCATAGGAAATGTAAAGTCAAAGATTAAGATTCCCAATTTTAGAATCAGAAAGGATCAAATATATAATCTACCTACTCTTTTTATATAAGCACTTGACTAGAGGAACAAATGAGATTTTGTAATTAAAAACTTTTTTTTCTTTTTTAGATCTCGGATGCAGGGGCTTAAGTGAATCATTCAATTCATGGCGTACTGTTTGCATCCACCCTCGTGACTTTTTGTCTCCTCTTCATAGACAATCTAGGGGAGGACTAAGAACGTAGGCTTTGGAGTCAGACTGCCTAGGTTTCAATCCCACATCTTCCACCCACCAGCTATATAGCCCCTCTGTACCTCAATTTCCTCAATTATATGCTGAGGATGATATGGTAAGAGTTTTGATAATTAAATTAGTTAGTACCTTAGTGTATTTAGAAAAAGGCAGAGCAGGTAATATATATATTCAATAAAGATGTTACTTATTATGATAGGCACCTATTCTGTTTCATCTGTGTTCTTGAACATGTATATATTCTTAGGAGTCATATAGTATTGTTTCATGTGTGTGTCTTTAATTTATATAAATGGTATTGTGCTAAAGGTCATGTCTGATTTCTTGCTTTGCTCACTCAACATTATGATTTTAAGATTTGTCCTTGTTGTTATGCATTCATATAGTTTATTACTTCTAACTACTACATAGTATACATTTAACACATGTTCCTTATCCATTTCCCTAGTAATAGACATCTAGGTTTTCTCCAACTCTCCACCCACAAAAAATGCTCTTCTCTCATGTACCTTAAAGAATTTCACATGGATTTCTGAGTCAAGAGGAATGCGCATTTGTAAATTTTACTAGAGTATCCATTCTTTTTTTTTTGAAGATTGGCACCTGAGCTAACATCTGTTGCCAAATCTTGTTTCTCCTTCTTCTTCTCCCCAGAGCCCCCTGGTACATAGTTGTATATCCTAGTTGTGCGTGGCTCTGGTTGTGCTATGTGGGACGCTGCTTCAGTATGGCTTGATGAACGGTGCCATGTCTGCGCCCAGGATGCCAACTGGTGAAACCCTGGGCCACCGAAGCGGACCGCGCAAACTTAACCACTCAGCCACAGGGCTGGCCACTAGAGTATCCATTCTTAATTTTATAAATTATAGCCATGTTGTTTCCCAGAATGGCTTGCATATCAGCTTACCCTCCCACCAGCAATTCATGAAGGTTCCTGTTTTTCTACATATTATTGTTGCTTGGTATTATCCAATTTTCTAATATTTGCCATTCTGTTGTATATAAAGTGGTATCTTGTTGTTTTAACGTGCATTTCTTTGATTCCTAATGCATTTTAAACATCTCTTCATAGAAATATTAGATATTCACGTGTTCTTTTCCATGAATTGTCTGTTTATATTTTTGTCTATTTTTTTCCAGATTTATCGAGATATAACTGACATATAACATTGTGTAAGTTAAGGTGTACAACATGATATTTGATACACTTGTATATTGGGAAATGATTACCACAGTAGGGTTAGTTAACATCTCCATCATCTCACATAATTACCATTTCTTTTTTTGATGAGAACATTTAAGATTTACTCTCTTAGCGACTTTCAAGTATATAATCCCGTATTGCTAACTATAGTCACCACGTTGCACATTAGATCCCCAGAACTCATTCATCTCATAACTGGAAGTTTGTACTGTTTGAACAACATCCTTCCGTTTCCCCCACTACCCAGCCCCTGGCAACCAACATTCTACTCTCTGTTTCTATGAATTTAGCTTTCTTAGATTCCATATATAAGTGAAATCACACAGTGTTTGTCTTTCTCTGTCTGACTTATTTCACTTAACCTGATGCCCTTAGGTCCATCCGTACTGTCACAAATGGCAGGATTTCCTTCTTTCTCACGGCTGAGTAATAATCCATTGTATTTATATACCACATCTTTATTCATTCATCCATAGATAGACACTTAGGTTATTTCCATTTCTTGGCTATGTGCATAATGCTGCAATGAACATGGAGATGCAGATATCTCCTTGAGATCCTGATTTCATTTCCTTTGGCTATATACCAAGAAGTGGAATTGCTAATCATATGATAGTTTTATTTTTAATATTTTGAGGAACCTTATACTGATTTCCATAGTGGCTTTACCAATTTATTCCCACCCACAGTGTACAAGGGTTCCCTTTTCTCCACGTCATTGCTAACACATCTTGTTTTTTAGGTAAAAGCCATACTAAGAAGTGTGAGTCGGTATCTCATGGTGGTTTTGATTTGCATTTCCCCGATGATTAGTGATGTGGACCATCTTTTCATATAAATTTTGGCCATTTGTATGTCTTCTTTAGGGAAATGTCTATTGAGTTCTTTTGCCCATTTTCCCATCAGAGTGTTTTTTTTTAAATTGAGTTGTACTAATTCCTTATGTATTTTGGATGTTAACCCGTCGTCATTTATATGATTTGTAGATATTTTCTCCTATTCTGTGGGTTGCCTTTTCATAGCGCCAATTGTTTCTTTCACTGTGCATAGACTTTTTAGTTTGATGTAGTCCCACTTATTAATTTTTGCTTTTGTTACTTATGCTTTTGATGTCATATCCGAAAAATCATTGCCAAGACCAATATCAAGGAGTTTTTCCCTATGTTTTCTTCTAGGAGTTTTACAGTTTCAGATCTTATGGTTAAGTCTTTAATCCATTTTGAGTTAATTTTTGTGAGATTAAGGTGTAAGATAGGGGTCCAATTTCATTCTGCTGCATGTGATTATCCAGTTTTCCCAACACCATTTATTGAAGAGACTATCCTTTCCCCATTGGGTATTTCTGGCTCCCTTGTCAAATATTAATTGATTATATATGTGAGGGTTTATTTCTGGGCTCTTGATTCTAGTCCATTGGTTTATGTATCTATTTTTGTGCCAGTGCTGTTCTGTTTTGATTACTATAGCTTTGTAACATAGTTTGAAATCAGGGAGTGCAATGCCTCCAGCATTGTTCTTCTGTCTCAGGATTGCTTTGTCTACTTGGGGTCTTGTGTTCCACATGCATTTTAGGGTTGTTTTTTCTATCTCTGAAAAACGCCATTGGAATTTTGACAGGGATTGCATTGAATCTATGGATGGCTTTGGGTAGTGTGAACATTTTAACAATATTAATTCCTCCAATCCATGAGCATGGCGTAGCTTCCCATTTATTTGTGTCTTCTTCAATTTCTTTAATCAATGTCTTATAGTTTTCAGTGTGCACATTTTTCACCTTTTTGGTTAACTTTATTCCTAAATATTTTATTGTTTTTCATGCTATTGTGAATGTGATTATTTTCTATATTTCTTTTTCAGATATTTTGTTGTCAGTGTATAGAAATGCAACTGGTTTTTGTATGTTGATTTTATATCCTGCAACTTTACTGATTTTGTTGATTAATTCTAACAGTTTTTTTGTGGAGTCTTTAGTCTATGTATAAGATCATGTCATCAGCAACAGAAACAGTTTTACTTCTTCCTTCTGACTTAGATGGCTTTTATTTCTTTTTCTTGCCTGATTGCTGTGGTGAAGACTTTCAGTACTATGTTGAAGAGGAATGATGAGAGTGGTCACCATTGTCTTGGTCCTGATCTTAAAGGAAAAGCTTTCACACTTTCACTACTGACTGTGATGTTAGCTGTAGGCTTGTCATATATGGCCTTTACCATGTTGAGGTACATTCATTCTATACTCAATTTTGGGGGAGATTTTTTAATATGAAAGAATGTTGAAACTTTTTTCTTTTTGGGAAAGATTTGCTCTGAGCTAACATCTGTTGCCAATCTTCCTTTCTCTCTTTTTCTCTTCCCCAAAGCCCCACTACAGAGTTGTGTATTCTAGTTTTAAGTCTTTCTAGTTTTCCTATGTGAGCTGCCACCACAACATGGCTACTGACAGATGAGTGGTGTCGTTCTGTGCCTGGAAACCGAACCTGGACTGCCGAAGCAGAGCACCCTGAACTTTAACCACTAGGCCATCAGGGCTGGCTCAGGATGTTGAATTGTGTCAAATGCTTTTTTTGTATCTATTGAGATGATTATATGATTTTTATCCTTGATTCTGTTAATGTGGTGCATCACATTTGTTGATATGTATTTCTCATTTCTCAAATCTGCCATGCTTATGGAAGCCTTAGAGCCTTACACTTCCTTTTCTCTCTGCATGGAATGCTTTTCTTCCAGATTTGCACGTCTCTCTCCTTCACTTCAACCAGCTTTCTGCTGAAATGTCCACCTTCTCAAAGAGCCCTTCCCATTTGCCCAATCTAAAATACCTATCTCTGCTGTCTTAGGGTGCAGGCTAAGCTACTGTAGTAAAGAGACCCCGAAATGCAGTGGCTCAACTGAAATAGAGGTTTATTTCTCTCTTGGGTAGTTGTGAAATCTTCAACATATGGCTTCCAAGGTTGGTTTAGCTTTGCCATTTCTCAGGCATGTACCTGTACCTACCCCTAAGATTTCCTTTTCCGTTTCCTGTCATAACAAATAGATGTTTCCACTTTTAAAACTGAAATCTCTCCCGAACTTTGAATCCCTTTGCTCTGCTTCTCAGAGGCCTTATTCTCTCCATTATTCCTTTATTTCTTGTATTTAAATATATTGTCTTAAAAACAAGATTTAACATATTTAAGTCAGTACCATTAAAAAAAGTATAATTGTACTGATGTCCCCTCTAGACACCTTATCTTTTTCTTCTCTCTTCACAGCTACACTTCCCATTCACTTCTCAACCAACTACAGTCTGGCTTTGCTTTCCCCACTTCATGGAAATTGATTCACCAATCCAGGCTCCCTATTGTTAAGTTTCTAGATCTTACCACTCTCCTTTTAAATGTTGTCTTCAGCTGGCTTCCTTGATACTGCGTTCTCCTGGTTATCTTCCCAACTCTCTGTTTTACTGTTCTGTCTCCCCTGAGGATCTTCTTCCTCAGTCTGTCTCTTATATATTAGTGTTCTTCTATGTTCTATCTTCAGCTTTCTTTGTCTCTCACTCATTTTTTTCTCAGCAATCCCACTTACTTTCCCAGGTTGAATTACCAAATATAGGCCAATTGATTGCTCAAAATCTTACGTCTCTAGACCATACCTTCCTTCTGCATATGCAAATATCTATTGGGCATCAATTGGGACACCTCAGACACAAACACAACATCATCTGTCCCCCAAACCTTCTTTTCCTATTTCATTGAATGGTACCACCACCTTCCTGGTCGTCCAAGCTGGAAACCTCCATGTTATTCTGAGACCTTGAGCTTTCCTTTACCCTCCTTCCACCCCTGAATACAGTCTTGCAGTTCTTAGAATATGTAACATCTTCAAACTATTTTCTTTGCCTAGAACATCCCCTTGGTTAATCCCTCCTTCTCTAGGGAGATAATAGAGTATGAGGGACAAGAAGGTAGCCTCTGAGCTCAGAATACCTGGATTCATGTTGAGGCTTTGCTACTTGTAAGTCACTTTACTTGCTACTTCCAAGTCCCTGACAGTTCCACTTATTTCCGCACCCTCCCACCCCGCTGCAAATCTACACTCCATTAAATGCCTCTGTACTGTGTTCTTAAGACACTTTCTTTCTACCCTTGTTATTGTACTTGTTACTCTGTATTATATTGCTTCTTTCCTTTCCTATCTCTCTTCTTACACTGTAAGCCCCTAGAGGGCAGAAACTCGCTTCTGCACCTTATATTACTAATACATAGCTGAGGGGCTGGCATGTTAATTTATTCATTCAACAAATATTTATTGCACACCTTTATCTCCAATGACCAAGGTGCTAGGTTTACAACAGTGCACAAGGGAGACCAGGTTATGCTCTCTTCAGGCTTACCTTCTAGAGGAGGAAGCAAGCAATGGACAGAAATGAACTAATTAAGACTGTGCTAAGTATTATGAAGGAAGCCATGGAAAGAGCCAAGGAGAAATGTTGTAGGCAGAGGGTAAATCAAGTACAAAAATCTTGAAGTGGGAGGGTGCTAGGAAAGGGGGGCATTGAATGAATGAACAAATGAAGGGTGGGAAAACTAAGAAGCAGAGAAGTGACTTGTCCACTATGATGAACAAATGATGGAACCCAGTGCCTCTGAGTCCAGTTTGGCACTCTTGCCTCTGAGCCACAAGACCTCAACATTTAGCAAAAGTGGATAGTCTTAGCAAAAGCATGTACAGTTACTGAAAATAAAGTGAAATGCAAAACTTGTTAGAATGCAAATTTTTAAGAAGAAAATTGACTTTTGAAGGAAGAATCAATGTAAATAACAGAGAAAGAAATGAATCAAAGTGTATAAAATGCTAGTCTTGAATTCTGACTTAGGCTAAGTAAGTGCACAGTGGAGCTTGAGAGAATTTGGAATAAAGTAGGGAAAATTTATTAAGCATTTATTCATTATCTATTGTATGGCAGGTGCTGTAGTGTGTGACTGAGACGTGGTTTCTGCACTGGGTGTTTACATTTTTCTTGGAAGAGATTAATCTAAATAATTTGAGAATTCCCTAAATAGTTTGAGAATTTTAAATTAATAAGTAAACAATGGGAATTGATTTTACGTTAACTCTGTGTGTGAATGAGTTTTTAAAAATCACTTGGTCTGGGGCTGACCTGGTGGCATAGTGGTTAAGTTTGTGTGCTCCACTTTGGTGGCCCAGGGTTTGCAGGCCCGGAACCTGTGTCCAGACCTATGCACCGCTCGTTAAGTCATGCTGAGGTGGCGTCCCACATACAAAATAGAGGAAGGTTGGCACAGATATTAGCTCAGGGCCAGTCTTCCTCACCAAAAAAAAAAAAAACCAACAAAAAAAACACCTGGTGTAGCACAAGTGGTAAGAAAATTGTTAATCTTCATTAACAGGAGGTGAGATATGAAAAAAAATCTTTGGGTTTTTGGCTTTTGTAAAAAGTTATCCTTTCAATTTATCAAGTGTTTACACTTTTATTTATTGTTTTTTACATTTTATCGGATAATTGACATAGGGGAAAGTATAGCTATTCCAGGTGAATTTACTGCACAAGAGAAGTGTTCTGGAGATTGGTGGAGGCCATTGGTGGCGGAGGAATAGCTGGCGCAGTTTCAAGGATGTACACGGCTCCTCTTGACCGCTTGAAGGTCATGATGCAGGTAGTGTGCACACTTCAGCTACCCCGTAAGCATTAAATTAACCTGAAGAATCCTTGATAATTTTCAAAAGAAATACTTTGGCACATTTCATACTCCTTCTCATTAAAGTTTTACATTTTTCTGAAAATGTAAATTTTCTTATTTTAATATTAAAAGATTTCTTAACTTTTTAAAGATGCTTATATGCTGTTTAAATTAATTTTTGTTTGAAATAATAATAGAACCACTCTATTAGAAGTTTTTTCAGAAATATAACTAAATCTATTAAAGAAATGATAGGATACCACTAAATACATTGGTCTAATGTATTGGTTATCTCTGCTCCCTGACACCAACATAATAGCATGGTTCTACTCTGCTATTTAGGTACTAAGAATATTTCTAAGAATTGAAAAGTAAGTTATTTTGAGTGTGTTATTGACTAATGTTCATTAGAAGTAAAGTCTAATTACCTTTATTTTACTGAGTAATGGATTGTCAGCAGTTGTTATAAAATAGTGTATGGCTTAATTGGAGTATCATAATTATAATTCAATATTTGCTTAATACTTTCTCTGGAAGGATACAAAAATGATTAATCCACAATCTAATGAATTTAAATTTGTAATTAAATTTACATACCTGGGTGTTTTATTGTCTTTTGGTTTTTAATAACATTGGTGACATTTGTTAATGAATTATGAATAGTTTTTATTGGTTGATGTCTGATCTTATTTGTCTGTTACTCTTAGAAAATCTTGTTTTTGACTGACTCAGATTTAGAGGTGGGAGCTCTAAGAGAGGACAGCCTCCATTTTTTGGCATCTATTCCTGGCGTTTTTCTTCAACTTTCTTCATTCTCTTGGCCAAAATTTTAGCATATTCTGCGGCCTCTTCCTTAATTTTCTTAGTATGCTGTTTCTTCAGAGCAACATGCTGATGTTTGTGTTACAGGCTACGTGCAGTAACAAGATGCAGAATCTTGGGACTTCGGTCTTGGGTTTCATACCTTCTTTGTTCAGGGGCTTTCTGACAACATACTGGTGGGCATCATCTTCTTTGGAGAGATTGAAAAGTTTGCGGATTCTGCGTGCTCCTTTGGGCCCCAGGCAATGAGGCACAGGAGTATGAATTACTCCAGGAATTTTCTTCTCCTTGTTGTTTACAATAACCAAGTTGAGAACACTCAGATTGGCATCCACAATGCAACCCTGAACAGACTTGCGCTTTCTTTCTCCAGTTCTCCTTGGTCTATAACAGAAATGCCCCTTACTCAGTAGCAGGTGGCCACAGCCATGGGGAAGCTTTGTTTGTTGTTCCTCCGTGTGATTTAGGCCACGTAACCCTTCCATTCTTCACCCAGAGCATCAGCAGTAACTTCTGTGGGCTTCTCAGAAACTTCCGTACACTTCTCAAAAAAAAAGTGCTCATCATCCACTTCAATGAGTTTCCGGCAGCCAGTGGCTGGGAAGGAGACATTCAGCTTCATCTTGAAGCAGCTGATCACCTCCGAGGTGCCACAAAAGAAAGCTGAATAGTTGTTATTATACTATGTGAGTTAACTGTATAATAACTGTAATGTCTATCAGGGAAAATAGATAATTAAGCAAATAGTAATAAAATGTGATATAAGTGCTGTCTACCCACACAAAGGATACACGTAATGCCAGGGAACACCAAAAAGGAATAAATATCACTTCCCCTCTGCCTATTATTTCTCACACAAATATATGGTGATATCTTGCTCAGTACATTCAATGGAAGTAAAGACCTTTTAATTCAATGAGGTAAGTGTAGAGAACACACTTTGAATGGTATGAGATAGTAAGATAGCCCACCATCCTTCTGTATGTTTGGGTGCATGTGTAACCTATGTTTTATTCAGTCAGGTGAATAAATTCAGTTAGCTGTTGGGAAAGAACAGGAACTAAAATCCTCTTTTGCAGGTAGAAATAGAAAATCCAGCTTCCTCGGTGACTGGGCCTGTCAGAAAATAAAAAATGAGGTGTAAGGGAAAAATATGTGGACACAGTACAGAGCTACCCAGGGATGGAGACATATAGGGAGATGACAAAGATGGGAAAGGGATCCAGAGGAAAAATAAGGAAAGAAAATGTATTTGTTCTGTGCCCATCCTATGCTAGATGTTGGATGAAAAGCATATTTCTTATACTCCAGAACCTTACAGAGATATGAACAACATATCTGTGTGATGATGGTGATACTGAAAATAATAATTGTCATGTATGAGTGCTTACTATGTGCCAGATAGAAAAATGTATATGGGTATTTTAGGGACTCAAGGTAGGGGTGATCCGTCCTCCACGTGGATGAAAATAGGTCAGTGGATTAGGGAGAGTGAAGAAGTACGGAGCAAATAGGGGGTAAAGGACTGGTGTCCTTGTAAAAAGAGGAAATTTGGACACACAGACTTGCACCGAGGGAAGACAATGTGAAGAGACCTAGCGAGAACGTGGCCATCTACCAGCCAAGGAGAGAGGCCTGAACAGAACTTTCCCTCACAGCCCTCAGAAGGAACCAACCCCGCTCACACCTTGATCTCAGACTTCTAGCCTCCAAACTGTGAGAAAATAAATTTCTCTCATCAAAGTGATACTTTGTTACAGCATCCCTAGCAAACTAACACAGGTCATTTTAATGTCTTCCTTCATATTTTCCTAATGTATTATTTTATAGTCAAAAAAATGTTATTTTAAGAAAGTGAAATTATGACGTTAATAAAATACCCACCTGTCTAGAATAGAATAATAATGGGAGAGCAAGGTGAAATGTACATTCTCATCTCCTGTGGGTAGAAAAAGTCTGGAAAAAACTTAATATATATACAGCCTTAAAAATGAACATTTAGTTACTTAAACTTCTAGGAAGTTCTTTCTAAACAATTAATCCTAAATATGAAAAAAGATTCATAAACAATGGTATTCATCACTGTGTTGGATTTTAGGGCCCACTTTAATGACCTTACTTTAACTCGATTGCCTCTGTAAAGACCCTATCTCCAAATAAGGGCACATTCTGAGGTAATGGGGGTTAGAACTTCGACATATGAATTTGGGGGGATACAGTTCAACCCACAACGCCTCACTACCCAGAAGGATCCACTGTCAGAAGTTTGGTGTATTTTCATCCATTCTTTTTTCAGTGCATATTTCAGTGCACTCTGTCATAATCTTGTAATATTTTAGCAGCAACAACACATCTTGTGAATGCAGAAGTTCTCTGGTAACTAAGTTATTCCTGTTTTCTTTAAGTTAGTCTTCTTTTCTGTGATGTATTAGATTAATTAAAGTATGTATTTGGAGACAACAAAAAATAATATATCAATTTCATGTGTCTCTAAAGGAAATGAAAATGGTGTTGAGGATCATAAATTTATACATATATGTATCATTATTTTATCAGCAATAATGATATCAATGCCATAATACCAGCAAAATAAGTAAATTGTTAATTTCTAGGTTCATGGTTTAAAGTCAAGGAGAATGAGATTGATTGGTGGGTTTGAGCAGATGGTCAAAGAAGGAGGGCTTCGTTCTCTTTGGCGAGGAAATGGTGTAAATATTTTTAAAATTGCACCAGAGACAGTGCTTAAGATTGGAGCCTATGAACAGGTAAAAATGTTATTGTTTGTGTTATTTTATAACAAAGAGTCCATTTTAAAGTTAATTTTAAAAAATTTAAGCTTTCATGAGAGAGAAAACTGGAGTGTGCATAAGCAATAGATGTTAATGTAAATGTAAGTGACTTTGTTTATTCTCATTTGATTATTTTTGTTGTTTTCATGTTGCTTTTGTTTACAAGAGACGTTTCACGGATTATATTATATTATCATAACTGACGTCTACCAGTAGTCTTTTAATTTCAATATCACAGTGTAAGAAGCCCTCAAAAAAATTTTGATATTTATTTTCCTTTAAACAATTGTGATATTTTATTTAAGATTTGTTAATATGATTTAGGATGTTACTTTTGCTTAAATAATTCACTTTGAGATGAGCTATATTTATTTTCAAGTAACTAAGTTATTAGCATCACATTAAGGGTCAAAGAGTGCTCTATGTGCATCTCAAGTTTTCCATTTTCACCGTAAATCTCATAGTAATTGTTTTTTCTTTAAACATTTTATAGCACATAGCAGTAAAGTGCTTCTTTTTTTAAAATTTTTTATTGAGATTATGATAGTTTACAACCTTGTGAAATTTCAGTTGTACATTACTGCCTGTCAGTCGTGTTGTAGGTGCACCACTTCACTCTTTGTGCTCACCCTCCAACCCCCCTTTCCCCTGGTAACCACTAATCTGTTCTCTTTGTCCACGTGTTTAACTTTCACATATGAGTGGAGTCATACAGAGATTGTCTTTCTCTATCTGGCTTATTTCACTTAACATAATACCCTCAAGGTCCATCCATGTTGTTGTGAATGGGATGGTTTTATCCTTTTTTATGGCTGAGTAGTATTCCGTTGTATATATACACCATATTTTCTTTATGCAATCATTAGTTGCTGGGCACTTAGGTTGCTTCCACGTCTTGGATATTGTAAATAATGCTGCAATGAACATTGCATGGGACTTTTGGAATTGCTGATTTCACGTTCTGTGGATAGATACCCAGTAACGGATGTCTGGGTCATATGGTATTTCTATTTTTAATTTTTTGAGAAATCTCCATACTGTTTTCCATAGTGGCTGTACCAGTTTGCATTCCCACCAGCAGTGTGAGGTAAACTGCTTCTTTTGTGGAACCTTGGTTCACAAGGTCAGAAGACCTCAAAATTTTAAGAAAATATAAAAGATTAGTAATGTCCTTTCTCAACCCAAACAGTTGAAAAGCAAGTAGATGGATGAGTAGAACCCTAGACTTATTTGTAATGCATATCTTAAAAACATACATCTTACTTAAATGGGGATTTGCTTACGAATTCAACAAATATTTCTTTCATCAACAAATGTTTCTTGAGCACTTAATGTGTTTCAGACCTTGTTTGAGGGGCTGGGGGTAGAGCAGCAAAGAAAACAGAAAAGAGAAAAAAAGCCTACCTGCCTCCATGGAATTTATATGAGCGTATAAATTGGAGGAGACAATAAATAAACTAGTAAAATAGCTGGTATATCAGAATGTGATCATTGCTATGGGGAAAATAGAGGCTAGAAATTGGAGATAGGAAGAATCAAGAACTCTTTGAAGGAGTTTTGCCATGAAGAGGAGAGGGAAATGGAGTGGTAACTAGAGGGGACGTGGGATCAACAAAGAGTTTCCCAAACATGAAAGAAGCAACAGCCTGTTTGTATGCTTAGGGGAATGATCCAGTAGGGAGGGGACCACTGGATGATAGGAAAGAGGAGAGAGTAGTGCAAGGAGATTATCCTTGAGTCTTTGAGTGGGTGAAGGGGATGGGAACTGGTGCTCATGGGAGGGTTTGGCATTGGCTGGGCACTTCATACATACTTAGAGGAGAACCGCTACTAAGTGAGCAGGAAGGTTTGTGGAAGCGTTCTTCCTAGTGCTTCAATTTCTTTAATGAAATAGGAAGCAAGGACATTTTGGAAGTATGAGGAAAGAGGAGACAGTATGAAATAGTATTCCAGGAAAGTGGGAAAGCAAGTAGATAGAGGAAATGAAATAAGATTGCTGGCAGTAAAGGGTCCAGGTGAAATTCTTTTATCTGATTACAAAACAAACAATGCCCTCCTCTGTATTTATGTACTGCTTGACTGTATCCAATTATCTTGCCCCTAAGAAGGCCAGGGTAATTAGACATCAACTTATCCCTGTGGGTCAGGGTTTGCTGGTTGCAACTCTGGCCTTGTTGTCTCTTAAGATAATTATATTTATCTTGCATCTGATGGTTAAGTGCCACCACTTAACGACCTGCTCTTCTGGAATTTTCCATCCCCATTGATACTAGTGAACCTATTCTATGGCAACATCTCCTGCTGTCAAACCTGGAAACAGCCATCACTGGGTCTCTCAACAAAGACTCTTTTCTTATGCTAGAAACATAGTCAAGTGGTAGTTTCTCCATTTTCAGGATAAAATTCATTCTAATATTTCCACCTTCCTAAGTCTACTGATCCCTTCTTCAATAGTCCATCAGGACTTTGGCATCTTCACTTCATTTGCTGTCAGCCATAATTATGTCTAAGCTTTAAAGAGCCATCCTAGCAGTATACGAGCTCAGGTTTCAGGTGTCCTGTGTCATGGGAGAGTGCTTCACATCGAAAATTCTCCCCTATACAGCATTATATTCCCCTCCCTGTACCCCCAACTGTTCAACACTCTTATGACCCACTCCCACACATGTTTCACTGGTTCCTTCCAGTCCATATTAGCTAGGTCCTCTAACTCTTTGTTCAGAATGCTATTTTTTCCCAGAACATGGATTTTATTTCTTCATTGGCTATCTGAGGCCTGACCTATAAAAATTATTGGTTGGGAGGCAATAGGAGGAGGTGGGGAGCAGATTGTGAGGAAGACAGACATCATCTTGTTAGGTATCTTCCTCTCTGAGGCCTTTACATGGCGTCTGGACGAGGAGAGGCTGCTCTGCTCTAGCAGTGGGAAAGGGACAACTTTTTGCCAAATTGGAGGATGCTGGAGAATTTGCGAGTTCAGGTTCCTCAGGCACATACACCCAAATGTCCCCATCGCGTGTATCAGGGTCCCACTCCTTCTCAATGAGGGTCCTCACTTTAGCATAGGAGACCTTTTGAAGCTATGTATCCAGTTTCCTTTGTGACTCTGTTACTTTTACATTTATATGCTGGGGCTGATTTTCAGCAGTCTATTCTGTAGCTGCAGGAGATGAGGGTCTCTTTAAATGCTGCCATGAAGGCCTTATAATGTTCATGATACATTTTAAGGTGATAATTGGCTGACCTGACCTTGACATTCTCTTTCTTCAAAGTTCTAAGGCAGTGAATAAGAGCCAGTCAATTCCACAATCCTTGTAATTGTCCCCATACTGTTCAAGTATTACAGCAACTGCATAATGTAATGGTTTCCTTTCTACCAGTACTTCATCCCAAACTGCCATGACTAAGAATCTTAGTAATTGTAATGCCATAGAATATGATAGGTTATCATCCCATTTGCCACGAGCAATGGGGTCTTTGGTGTCAAGTGACTGGTGAGTGATCCATTTCCAGATCCATCAGCAGACTTACTTTCTAGGACCACTTTTCGAAGAGCCAGCTTTTGGTTTCATTGATTTTCTCTATTGTTTCCCATTTTTAATTTCATTGATTTCTGCTCTAATTCTTATTTCTTTTCTCCTACTTACTCTGGATTTAATTTGCTCTTCTTTTTCTAGTTTCCCAAGGTGGAAACTTATATTATTGATTTTAGATCTTTCTTCTTTCCTAATATATGCATTCAATGTTATAAATTTCCCTCTAAGTACTGCTTTTACTGCATCCCACTAATTTAGGTAAATTGTATTTTCACTTTCACTTAGTTCAAAAAGTTTTTTAAATTTCTCTTGAGCTTTCTTCTTTGACTCATTTATTATTTAGAAGTGTGTTACTTAATCTTTACATATCTCGGTATTTTCCAATAATCTTTCTGTTACTGATTTCTAGTTTAATTCCATTGTGGTCTGAGAGCAGATGTATGATTTCTATTCTTTTATATTTGTTAAGGTGTGTTTTATGGCCTAGAATGAGGTCTATGTTGGTGAATGTTCCATGTGAGCTTGAGAAGAATGTGTATTCTGCTGTCGTTGGATAAAGGAGTCTATAGATGTCAGTTACATTCAATTGATTGATCATGTTGTTGAGTTCAGCTATGTCCTTACTGATTTCCTACCTGCTAGATCTGTCCATTTCTAATAGAGGATGTTGAAGTCTCCAACGATGATAGATGGATTCATCTATTTCTCTTTCCAGTTCTATCAGTTTTTGCCTCATGTAGTTTGATGGTCTGTTGTAAGACACATACACATTGATGACCGTTATGCCTTCTTAGAGAACTGACCTCTTTATCATTATGTAATGCCCTTCTTTATCCCTGATAATGTTTTTTGTTTTAAAGTCTGTTCTGTTTGAATTAATAGATCTCTTCCTGGTTTCTTTTGATTGGTGTTGGCATGGTATATTTTTATCCATTCATTTACATGTAATCTATGTGTGTCTTTATATTTAAAGTATATTTCTTCACAGAAATATAAAGGATCGTAAGAGATTACTATGAGCAATTATATGCCAACAAATTTGACAACCTAGAAATTGATAAATTCCTGGAAATGTACAACTTACAAAGACTGAATCATGAAGAAATAGAAAAACTAGACAGACTGATTATTCGTAAGAAGATTGAATCAGTAATCAAAAACTTCCCAAGGAACAAAAGTCTAGGACCAGATGGTTTCACTTGTGAATTCTGCCATACATTCGAAGAAGAATTAATACCAATCGTTCTCAAATTCTTTCAAAAGATAGAAGAGGAGGATACACTTCTAACTCATTTTACAAGGCCAGCATTACCCTGATACCAAAGCCAGACAAAGATACTGCAAGAAAAGAAAATTACAGGCAATATCCCTGATGAAGATAGATGCAAAAATCCTCACCAATATATTAGCAAACAAAATTCAACAATACATTAAAAAGAT